AAGTCTGCGACATATGGAAAGGTATTGGTTTTGGATGGAGTAATCCAACTTACGGAAAGAGACGAATGCGCTTATCAGGAAATGATCACTCATCTTCCACTGTGTTCTATTCCTAATCCAAAGAAGGTAAAATCAATTCCTTTGCATTTTTGGTGAGTGTGTGTAAGTTCATAGGTTATCAAAGTGTATTGCTTTGGACTGTAATGAAAGGTTTTTCGTCTCGGGTGCATCATTACTTGTGGAGAAACAGAGTTCCTTTTTATCAGATATGAATTATAGAAACTAATTGAGCTGGCATAAATGATTACACTCCAGAGTCCAGAGTGCTGATAGGAATTTGTCCACTAGAGAGAAAAGGTAGATGATCAACATTTTTTTTGCTTTATATATGTGTAAACTTTGATGGCCTCCTGAGAAAAAAAGGTACATTGTCCCACGTTCTCTTCTGGCAAAGTTAGAGAACTCAAGTAACTTTATTGGGTGATAGAAAATGTATCAACTGGCTGAAATGATTAGGCCTCTAGTTTGGTAATGGGGAATTGTTTGAGAAAAGGTAGATTTATAAAAGCTTCCAAATTTGGTTTTGCTCCCAAGTATCAGAATTGGGCAATCTAACTGTCTTGGGTTTTGGTAAAGTGTAGCAGCTAAAAGTGCTGTTTTTGTGCTTTTAGATAGTAAAGCTATAAGCCAATGTGTATCTGATCAAAGCATTTCTAGTTCTTCCATAGGTCTTGGTCATTGGAGGAGGAGATGGAGGTGTACTGCGGGAAGTTGCACGCCATGCTTCTGTTGAGCAGATTGACATGTGTGAAATTGATAAAATGGTGGTCGACGTGAGTGGTTACATACTTTTCACCTTTCCGGCATCTCTGTTTCAGTTCATGCCTTGTTATCAGAGTAAAGAATGGTCAGATGTGTATTTTAGTTTAATCTCTTTCCACCTTCTGGGAATCTTCAGGTGTCTAAGCAGTTTTTCCCTAATGTAGCGATTGGATACGAGGATCCTCGTGTGAACCTCGTCATTGGTGATGGTACAATACCGTCACTTTTATCACTATTTCTGAAATTTTATGTAGCTAAGTTCAACACATGTTGCCATTTTCAATCCAATTTTTTCAAACTGATCGGTTAGTGGATCATTGCAGGTGTTGCTTTCTTGAAGAATGCTGCTGAAGGATCATACGATGCAGTTATTGTTGACTCATCAGATCCAATCGGTAACTACTACTACCAATTAGATTAACTCTTGCTGTTATGTTGAAATGAAAAAGCACCCTTTAACCTTGATTATGCATGCTGGTGTGTCAGGTCCTGCAAAGGAGCTGTTTGAGAAACCCTTCTTCCAATCCGTGGCTAGAGCCCTTCGTCCTGGTGGGGTTGTGTGTACTCAGGCTGAAAGCTTGTGGCTTCACATGGACATCATCGAAGACATTGTTTCCAACTGCCGTGAGATCTTCAAGGGTTCTGTGAACTATGCATGGACCAGCGTTCCTACATACCCTAGGCATGTTCAATGACCTTTAACATTCAATCTCTCTCATTTTTTGTGATTATAATCTAACCTGATGTTAATCGTTTCACACTTTTTTCTATTGCAGTGGGGTTATTGGATTTATGCTCTGTTCAACCGAGGGACCTCATGTTGACTTCAAAAACCCAGTGAACCCAATTGATGAGAGCTCCAGCAAATCAAATGGACCCTTGAAGTTTTACAACGCCGAGGT